TGACAGATGAGTTGAATAACATTCTGCTGTAATCAATGCAACAAAATTTGTCCCTATTTTTTCTAAGCATTAGCAACTATTTTACTGGAGGACTTTTAAAAACTCCCAGGCACATACTCCTTAAGTGGGCTTTATCTGCTGCATAGCTTAATGTATTTTATTTTACATATTGCCAGTACTCTGTAAAATAACATTAAACATAACTTGCTACTGATGAGTCACTATGAAAAATGATGGCCATCTTTTTTGGCCAGAAATGCGTTCACAGCAAAATATTCAGTAAGACTGACCCATTTGTCATGGGTTCACAACTTTTAATATCTATCTCATTTTCTGTTTGAAGGTAATAATACCAAGAATACAGTCCAGACACTGTCATGCCTCCAAAATCAGCTGAAGTAGCTACTGCTAAGGGGAAAACAGTTTAGGGAAATTTTATGTAGCTGTTGTATCTGTCTGTACCCAAAAGGGCTGCTCCTCTTGGGAGAAGAGCACATACACATAAACAGGAGGTAGGGATGAAGGGGCTGGTACTGTCCAACTCATATGCCTCCTCTGACTCATATGCCTCCTACAAGTTATGGATTTTCTATTCTGCATACTCTAGTACTTATAGACAGAAGTGACTCACTGGTACTGAGCCATAAATTTATAGTGGCCTTGCAGACAGCAGTCTTCAGATATGGGGATCAACTCTTAGGAGATTCTCCCTGTTCAGATAAAGTGTATTAATGAATCTTTGTATTACCAGAAGTTTTTTTCTTCTTTTTTTTTTTTTTTTATTTTTTTTTTTTTGCATATCTTCAACTATTAAGTGATTCTTGGTAAATTGTTGTTTTACTGTGGACAGCTTTTTCAAGTCTTCTGTGTGGCTTTTGAATCTTGAGCCTCTAGTAGGCTTCTTTGAAGGGGCTCCATACATTCCTAGTGCTAAGATATCTAGGACAGTCACCACTTCCAAGCGTTCAGCTAATAAATACCTAATATTGCGTGCTCATTTGGGTCACCCAATCCAATTTTTACAGTTGGAACAAATCAAGTTAATCTAAGCAATGGTGCAGTTGCTGAGTGAATTGTATGGAATTTGGTTAAATGAATAACATTTAATTCATTTACTCACTTTGTCCTCTTGTGGAGTCAGCACATGTAAATGAATATGTTGGGGTTCATCCCCCTCTGGGCAGCAACGGAAAAGTTTGCTAAGTTCCCAAAAGTAAAAATTGTCTTAGTGACAGGAAAGGACTGAAGCTACTGGTACCACTGGGGCACTCATTTGGAGACTGCACAGCTGACACAAGCATTAGAGCCTCTTTTGTCTACAGGATGTCTCCTTTTATTGATGAGGAATAACTGATCTGGGTCCAATCTCTGAGAAGCAGATAAGGTAAAAAAATAATAATTTAAAAAGAACCAGACAAAGTTGCTCTGAAAACCATCAGAGGCCAGTAAACATAGAACCATGGCATTCATTAGCTTCAGGTAGAATCACACTTAAAAGAAATCTTTCATCAGATGTGGTGTCTTTACAGAAGCTGGTAAAGGTTTCTTCTGCCATTTGTGTTTTGTACAGATTCTATACAATTCTACAAGCCAACTTTACATTGTTACAATATTATTACAATAATTTCAGCTAGAATTAATTAACAATTTAGCCAACAAACAAACTGCTTGAATCACCATCCTTTTAAAAAACACTTGCTGGAAGATGACTCTGTGCTTTCATTTACAGGAGGAAAGCGAGTGTCCTTCATCTCTCTCTGTTATCAAAGAAAGGACACCAGGTGAAACTCTAGAGGATGATTTCTTCCCACCTGATGATCTGTCTTCTGATGAAGAATATTACATTGAAGAAAGCAGAGCAACCCAGTTCAAGAAATCAGGTATGAGGCGCATAGATGATATCAAAAAGGCATTTTCAAGGGAAAACATGCAGCAGACGAGACAGAATTTTGGCAAGAAGGTAAAGAGGCTTCGAACTAGAATAGTGACCCCTGAGAGGAGAGAGAGGATCAGGCAGTCAGGAGAAAGACTGAAACAATCCGGGATGAGAATCAAGAAAACCATTTCACAAGCTGCCCCAACGAAGGAGACATTCAAGATCCACAAGAAAAACAAAGAGCGAACAGGAGCCGAAGGTCAGGAGGGGATCCAGGAAGCCGGTGTGCACGTGGCCTCTGAGCTCCCAGCAGCAGAGCCCTTCACTGAAGAAATCTCTTACACAGAAGTGATCACGAAGGTAAAGAAAGACAAGAACAGTGCAACAAAAGGTGCTTCCACGTCGACTGAAAAAGGAGTCACAATCCCAGAAGTCGTTCTTAAGCAGGAAGGAAAAGAAGGAGGAGGAGGTGATGATGTCCCTTTGCTAGACTTAAAGCCATCGGCATATGGAATCAATTAGCAAACACACACCCATACTATCCTTACTGAACAAGAGACAACACAGTATGTATTCACTCAGCTTTAGAAAAATGTGTGAATTTGTGTTATATCCTGAACCACGTGTTGGTGGAGTTCTCTCATTTACACAGGTGCCTGTAGTGTTGTCTTCCTGACAAAAGCCAAGCCATGCAAACTGAATGAAGGGGCTCCCTCCCACTCTGGCTTGTAGCCAAAAGCCATCAATAACTTGGATGGAACTCGTGTCAAAGGGAGATGGAAATCTGCTATATTTTCAAGATTGATTTACCAGTCACTTTGCAGTCTAATCACCCTTTCGTTTTACATACAACAGTATCAAAATTACTTCCATTGTCTTATACTAAGTCTTCTAATTAGAAAACAATAACAAAGCTATTCCTTCATGTTAACAAAAGAACGAACTATGGAAAATGTCCGTTTAGCTGTGCATATCTTTTTGTTTAAGGGCCCTCACTGAAACAGCATCAGGAGGAAATTCCTGCTTTATCCAGGGTGTGACAAAATGTGGCAGGAACTGTAGGTTTTTGAGTAAATTGTATTTCTTCTCAGTGGAAAAAAGAAGCTCCTGTAATGACGAATTATTTCCAGAGTTCTGAAAGAGGAAGGTTTGACATATGTAAGCAATGCATTTTCTGCACTTATGGAAAAAGAATAAAAAAGCAGAAAATATTAAATATGGAATAGCAGAAGGAAAAGAGAATGAGGTATCATATTCATGTTTTGGAAAGATGAAATTGTGAGAAAGGCAAGGGTACAAAGCAGTAAAAGACAAATAAGATTAATGTATGGGTTCTGGATAAATAGAGGAGAAATACAGAATATTGTAACTGAAGTTTCCTCAAGATCTTTTAAAGAATTGTTACTCTATCCAGAGGATCATAGGGCTTATGAACGTAACTGACCAGACAAGGGAATTATTTTGTTTTCCATTCTCTGTGCTTTTTCTGAGCTTCACCACAATTAAAATCAATTCTACAAAGCTGCTGAAGTACAGGGCCAATCCATAACCCAATTCTCTGTTTCCTATCATCATCATTATTGACCAGCCGCAGCCTCAGGGATTAAGAGACAGACACCTTCTGGAATATGGAATGCTGTTTATTTGCAACACTCAGGAGCCAGTGTCCTGACATCAGACACGTTTCTAAACATGACCACTACACTGACATGGGGTGCAGGATTGAATTGCTTTCTTCATTCTTAAACAGAGTTGCCTTCAAAGCACTAATCTAAAGCAATGTTTGTCAATACTATCTATGTGAAACTTGTACAATATTGCCAAATTATATCGTATTTGATATATCAGATTCATTTTAACAGCATACTTGGTTATCTGTATACATTGTTTGAGGACTCCCAGCTAATTGTTAATCTATGATTTAAATATAATTAGTTTGATTTCAAATATTCTGCCTTCCAGTTCTCTCATTTAGTCTGGTCTACATCACACTTGAAGTGAAACAGCTTTAGCTGTAATAACTAGGGAACATCGGCTGGGGAAGATCAATGTTATACCATGTCAGTGACATTTCAAATCAAATTAATATTGTCAAATTGGAAGCGGGAAGGAAGGGCAGGATAGGGCAAGAGAGGGGACAGAGAGAGGAAAACATTGCTTTCAACAGTAAATTGTAAATCTCCACAGGACTTAATTACATGCAAAAGAAACAAAAAAGGGAGGGGGGGTTGCTTATAGGATAGATTGGAGGTTTTGTTTGGTTGATTTTTTACTAGTTACAGGAAGTCTCTTCAGGAACCGGGTGACAGTATGTTCCTCCAATTTCATATAAAACTGTTGCTATATTCAGTGAAATTAAGTATAATTTGTCTAGTTCTTCTGTAATATGGCCTGCATTCTGTTCTGCAAGATTTTACATTTTCATAATCTGATGAACAGGGTTTAGCTATTTAAATGAAAATGTGAAAGTTCAAAGAATTTATTTGCATTTTTTATACATCAGAACACGAAGTACTAGAAGATAGCAGCCTATATATATGCTACATATAGCATTTAATTTTCTCATTTTGCTTGACAAAGAAAGGAAGCCATGCAGTTTGCACAGAGCTTATCGTGTACCACAGCATATAACCTCTATCAAAAAATATTTTCTAATGTTTACTTCTAACTTCAACTGTTCAGAGAATTGCTTTCATAGCTTTCATAGCTAGTACTGGGTTCTCTGGGCATGCGAAGTACGCTCTTCATTTTAAGTTATCATCAATGTTTTTTACTTGAATTTTTCATATAGCAGGAGATCAAAGTTAATTTACTCCAAAATTCTCAATGAAATGGGTTGATGTGCAGTTGTACTGCTGAGGGGCCTGGAGTATATTTTTCAAACAGGTTGTTTCACTTGGTAAAATAATCTCACCGACACTGCATGTGACACAAATGCTGCTCCTGCCTCAGTGGGAAAAGGGAGTTTGCCTGCTGTCCCTCTCTGCTGCTTCCCAAGAAGAAATCTGGCACTTTCTGCTTAGTTGTGGGTGGGAGTGTGAATATCAAACTTCCTCATGGAAGTTTGCAATTGCAAGCTTCATAGTAAAACTGGCTATGGGAAAGGATTAACTACTTTCTTGGACAGCGGAAAGGAAATTCATGTTTTTATACAAAAAATCGAAAGTGTTCACAAGGAGGAAAAAAGTGATTAACAAAGCACTCACTGCAAGACCTTCATTCGTAACAGCCAACAACAATTTCTTGTGCTGTGAATTTGGGCTAGTGAAAAAGGCCAAACACATTTTCTGCCAGTAGCAGTCTGTTTATTAAAAGAGAAGTAGCAATCAGTCTTCAATTACAAGCTGGACAGCAATGGTGGTAATAAAGAAAAATTACTTCAACCATTTCAGGTGAATCTACTCCCAGAAGTGGCTTGTGTGCCAATTTTCTATTCTTTTTCTTTCTTTTTTTTTTGTTTTTTGGTTGTTTGTTGTTTTTTTTGTGAACCTGAACTGATGCAAAACACAGGAAAAAAAAAAAAAAAAAACAGTTAAGTGTTTTGAGTTATCAGGATTCAGGCCCTAAAGCCAATGGAGGGAATACTAATCGAGTCAAACTGCTGTTCAGATGTGTTTACTCTGAGAAGAGTTTCAAAACTTTTCTCTTGCAAATAATGGGGAGGGGGGCTGGTTGTGTGTGCACATCTTCCTCACAATGGGATATAAGTTTAGAAATGAGTTATTACGTGCAAAGGCCACTACTTGCACAAAAATGAAGTTGGCTATTTTTACAAATTCTATGATCAGTAGCAGAAGTAAGTGAATGTTTCAGAAAAGGGTACCATCCATTTGTAAACCCACCCAGTAATGCGAAGTCAAAGGAGCTGTGCCTTGTAATACATGCAGATTAACATGAAGTTTCATTTTATGTTACATTCACTTGTCATTACAGCTTTAATAATGTCACAGATCATACGTTTTTAACTACAAAGTTGAATTTAAAAATAATTATCTCATATTTTGAAAAAGCCTTGTATTAAGAAGAAAAGATAACATCTACAGAAGAACCACCATAAAAGTTGGAGCAGTTTTCACTATCATAAGCACTCTTTTTCCTGATGTTTCCACTATGAGCAAGCTAATTGATTATATTGTCACTTGCTTTGTAGCAGTTGCCAAACTTTACACATTAATCTATTTTCCCTCTGATATTCCCAGGCTAAGTGCATTTGCAATTTTTGCTACAAACAGAGTAAACTCATCTATGTGTAATTAACACAATCTCGATACATCACTTGTTAATTGCCGTCCTCCTAGGAGAAGGTAGCCACCATTTTATCAATAACAACAGAAGTCCTACTGGCTGCAGATGAATCTTCCTAGATGGTTCTTTCTTTAAAACTATCTGTTGGTCCTTATTTTGAATCGCAGAGCAGTGCAACTCCCCTTAAAGTCCAATGGTCAGGATTCTGCACTGTTTTCAGATACAATGAGAAAATGTATGTCAGATCTGTTCTCCGAGGCTTTTTGTAGACAGGGCAGGAGTACACACCTCCTTGTTGCTTCTTTGGGCATGTAGTGCTGTTGTGCACACAGCATACACATGGACTACAGGTAGACTTGTGAACAACACCTGAGAATGTTAAAAGACATGGGCCTCAGCATTAGAGAAGCAGGACAGGGTGCCTGAACTCCAAATCCTGAAACTGGATTCAGTGACGACCTTCAGCAAAAGTACCAGCACCTCAGCAGAGGCACACATGAGAACACAAGTCCTGTGCTCACTACTATGTTGACCCTAACTTTAAGGGAGAGATACTATTGTCTTTTTTCCCATCCTTTGCCCCTTTGGGTAGTGTTCCTCATTCTTTACCCACCTCCTGTTTTCTCAATCACAGGACTGGAGCTACAAAGGGCAAGCTGCATTTAGCAAGCCTCCTTATTGCCTTGGCACTGCTGGCAGTGGAGCTTCAAAGATACAAGGTGCCTCTTGGGTGTTTATCTGGACTAGATCCCCTCAGGTCTTCTACCAATGTAAGGTATTCATTGGTTTTTCTCAAAAAAAAAAAACAAAAAACCAAAAACGAAAAGGGATCAAAAAGTGCAAAAGGAAGCTGGACACTCCAGAGCCCTTGTGTAAACTCCATGTTTTAAGCTGCCTTTAGACAAACAACTGTCACCAGAAGCTAGAGCTGGCAAGGTCTGGTCTGGAAAAAGACACAGAAGTGGTTTATCTACAAAGAGGAATTACATCAACTCCAATTCCAGGAAGAGTTATCACTGGTTTGGAAAAAGTTTACCAGTGTGGACAATGGCAGCTTTCCCTGGGCAGCGACCACAGCATCTAATCATTACTCCATAGCTAGGTTTTAAATCTGCTTAGTCACATCAGTAAAATGTAACTCCACACATGGATAAATGAGCATAAGCCCAGAACTAATACTTTTCCTCCTATTAAAAAACAAATGCTAGGGATTTCTAGTCATCCAAACACTGACCTCCACATCAGCTGTCACCAAATCCAGTCCTGGGCTTTGGAAATTGTGATAGGGTCCCACTTGGTCAGTCAAAAGAAGTACTGACTTGTGTTGTACTATTCTATTCAAACATAGCTGTGCTTCTAGGGCCCCTGAAGCCAAAGAGCCTGACATCTGGTCTGTTCTCATGCAGCTTATCCTAAATTAATCTTTTGGCAGAAGTCTTTTTGCTTGGTTCTGATGGGCAAACGCTCTGTTCTTTTGCCAGCCCTTCTAGTGTTTTAACCTCTTAAAACCTGGTGTGAAACCACTGTTGCAGGCACTCAAAATACTTCCTGGTGTTCTCTGAGCACACCATATTATGCCACGGTCAGTCACACTCCCTGGATCCTTACCTTTGGTGCTGACTCCACCAGCTTGCTGTTCCTGCGGTCCCAACCTGCCCCTTCGAGGAAAAGGCCGTATATGTAAACCCCACCAATGTCAGCAGGAGGAGGGCCAGTAACATCTTCTTTCATCATCTTGGTCACTTCATTGTGTAAAACAACACTGTCAAGTGTCCACCCCTTTGCTAAATTCATGCACGTTGTCTCTTGCCTCATAGCAGTTAGGAATCCCTAAGGACATCGAACATGAAAGAGGGTTTTAAAATACTTGAACTTACCCATTTCAACCTCTTTTTCCTTATATCATAGTGACATCAGAAGTATAAAACCTCCTCCCACAGAAATTTATCTGCATGCAAAACTAAATTCAGTTGTGTAAATTAGGTGGTTTCCTACATTTCCCCAGTATCGTGTTCCTATATATTTGGTGTGCATGTGTTGGGGTAAGAAGGCACCAGATTGGATTGTTTACTGTATCAGAAGCTGCATGTATAACTCTCCTCACCCCACATGCCTACTTTACAACCAGCCAGATGGAGAGGTTTACAAGGCTGTCAGATTAATGTGTTTTGTGAGGTTCCAAATACAGGTAATTGCTAAGCCACAAAGAAAACTTCTGTTTCCTGTGCTATATTACTCACCTTTTCTTATACCAACATTGTAAGACTGGGTTTCAGCCCACAAATCATGAAGTATTTTACAAAATACAAAGGAAGTGCAAACTGGAATAATGCAATTAAAGAGTGAAATGCTTCTGTTCCTTTGCTCATTGCAAAGCCTTAATACTCTACAATGAATTGGAGACACCAACTAGACACAACGCTTCAGCTGCACAAAATGAAACTCACTCTCTGTTCTAGAGAGCTACAATCTCATTATATGGTTAGATATGGTTACAAGCTACCACAGGACAGGCCTGTCTGAAGATGCTGGTTAGGTTTTATCATATAACTGCCCATGTGCATGCAAACTGCAGTACATGGGAAGTACCTCAATCCTAAGAGACAGGGGGACAGAGACTGCTTGACACCTCCATGGGGCATGCTGTGGAGGTACCCCTTACTTTACCCTATGGAAAGCCATTTGCATAGCCATGAGAGGAATGAATAAAACACAAGCTGCAAGATTAGAGAGCCAACAGCACATCTAGGAAGAAATCAGGAGCAATGAGGAAATTGAACAAGATTTTTATTTTTCTTCAGTATTCATAGTGCAGGATGCTCTGTTGTGCTACTGTCAGAGCCAAATGAAGGGAGAGTCAGGTGTGGAAACCTGAGCATGTCAGTCTACTGAATGCTGGGGCAAATCCCTGATTGGTGAGACTGGAGCACTTGTTGCATGTGCTAAGCACTTTGTAGCAACACAATACCCTTCAAGTTCTGAGAACATGAGATGACACTCATGAACTCTGATGTTTCAATTGACTGACATTGGTTGATTCTCATTAATATGATTCCAGAGACCTCAGGAGAAGTGTTTTAAAGAGGTTTTGTGATAGCACAGATAATTTTAATTGCATTTGAAGTAGCTGAGAATTCTAGCATATAGCTAAGGGAGACAGGATTAAAGGCCAAGTTCTTCTATCAGAAATGCCATTAAATGAAAGCAGAATCCTTCTAGTTAATTTGTGGAATTTTAATTTGTAGAAACATTCTAGTACCAATAATTTAAAATACATGAAGTGTTCAGTGACAGAAGGCTCCAGAGGGCTACTGGATCCCAGAAAAACTGAAATATTAAAGAAAGAAGAGCCTAAAGAGGAGAGGACAGAGCAGTGACTGTACTAAGGGAAACAGTTCAAAGGCACTGTGGAAACACGAAAATAAAAGTTTCAAGCTCTGAGTTACATTCAGGGATAAGATTTAGGCTGCAAACCATTCTTACAGAGATGGCAGGACCTATATGCTGTCTGCAGTGGGACTTGTTACACTTATCTGCTCATTTGAATGAATCCCAGACAGGGTTTGAAGGCTACAGCTGCCAGCTGAAGGCCCAGCTGGGTATCCCAGAGTGGGTGAATGGCACAATAAACAGTAAGAAAGAATCAAGAGGCTTGAGGTGCCACAGTGTGGCTGAAAGTTTTGCTCTGCCCAAAACCTTCTGTCAGGAACATAATGGCCCACTTGCCATGACATTTGTTTTGCTTTCTGGTAATCTTTGCTCTGTTGTTCTTGTTTGTTTGTTTGTTTCTGGGGGTGAGGGGAGGGTGGGGATGGGGAGAAGAGTGCACATTCAGATTTCAGAAACAGGGAAAAATATTTCTTCTCTTCACATTTTCCCTGGCCTGCTCACTGAAGGCTACTGAGGCTTTTTCCCTTTGCCTTCTAACAACCCTTGTAAACTAACTCTGAACCTTGTCGTGGAAGCTATGACAAGAAATATGGAAGTAAATTAAGTGTATTGCTTTCACAATCCTATTCTCTCCTTTACCTTGCTTAGGAGGTTCCTTGTTTGTCACTCATTTTGCAATTTCTAGAGCAAGAAAATTATGGCAGGTTTACTAGAATTAAGTGATCACTGAGGAACTGAGGCATTGTGCTTCATATTCGTTTAAGTATTCATATTGCTTTGGCATCTAAGGATCTTAAAATTAGGCTGAGGGTTGATTATGCTAAATCCTATACAACCAGAAAGACAGTTCTGCCTCACAGGGCTTAAAATCCATATATAGGACAAGTGACAGCAACTGGATACAGAGATGCAAGCAAGGAAACAATAAGACAGTATCAGCAGCAATATGGAAATTGGGAGGTAGAAACGAGATATGCATAGTGACAAGTTTTTTGAGGGGAAAAAAAAATCTAGTAACATCAGATTAACTTCTAAGAAGGAAGAAAATACACGGTATTTCTTGTTTTGTTCACCCCAGTTAACTTGGTCCCACGCAGACACAGTCAGGGAACGAAGTTTCTTTTACATAGCAGCCTGAGCCTGTGCTCATTTGTGCCACTGTAAATAAAGATTAACTTCAGTGAAATTACAAAATTTATCCTAGTGTATAAACAGTCCAGGAGAAGGCAGAGTCAGATCCTACATTATTTTTTTATTGCCAGAATGCCTCTTTCTTCTAGTGCTGTAAATCTACTTTATAGTTTTGTGTTATCCGTGGCATTTATCCATTGATTATAAAGCAAAAAGTGAGATCTATGCAAGAAGGCAAATTACAAATTACTTGGGAGCTTCATTTAATCTCACAAATGAAAGGATTTTTCTGACAATTTCTCAGGTAGTACAAACAAGCCATTACGACTGCAACACTAACACTTCATCACCTCAACTTGCTCGAGAGGATGAAAATCAATTCTCTTAACATATGAAATGCTGATATTTAAACACAGCAATATGACTACTAACAAAATAATAGTTAATTAAATAGAAAAGGAGTCTTTGCTTAGGTGATTATTTTTGCAGAATGAACCCCTCCCACCGCCTTGTTTGCAGAAAGTGGACAAAATAATAATAACCATCTGATTATTAAGCTTGTATTTGTCAGCACAATGATGTTTCAATCAGGTAAGCACATCTCATTCTTGTGTTTGTGTGGGTTGTTTGTTCATTTTGTTTTTGTTGTGGGTTTGTGTTGGGTTTTTTTTCGTTTTCTTGTTTGGGTTTTTTTATTTGTTTGTTGTGGTTTTTTTCTCTGCACACTCTCTATTTAGGGACTATCAGAACTACATATTATGAAGTTTAATTTTTGTATTCCTGGAGGCTTTCTCATTCATTATGGTCTACTAAATCACAACTTGTTTGGGGACATTCTACTCTGATTATGTGGCAGCCCTTTTGAGAAACACAGATGGATGGATCAAAAAAACCCACAGGATGCCCAGTTTGGGCTCGCAAAATTTCAGAACTGACAGAACCCCAAAGCACAAAAAAGCCAGCTAAAATGGCCAGTACAAAATCTGTATCAGCTCTTGCTCATCTGTAGTGCAAAAGCAAATACCAAAAAAAATCAAAAGTCTATTAGGGTTGTATAAATCTGATCACTGCAAAAGTTACTTAGGAATATTTTATAGTGTTACTATCAGTGTGTTGCTAACAAGCAAGTATGGAAGCATAATCATTTTATTAAAATTCCTGCTCCTCTCCCTCATACTTTTGCTTGGGAACCCTTTGCTCAGGGATTCTGTGAGCACACTTCCATGCTATAAAGCGGTAACAGCAGACAGCTGACACAGACAAGATAGATGATAGATGGATATTTCCCAGCAGTAGTCCTAGAGAATATTTGCCACTGTCACTTTCTCTATTCTAGGCAGCTGCTTCAGCTAGCTTTTGCATTACTAACAAGTACCAAGATTAAAATAGATCTTTAAAATAGCTTTTTGCTAAGGCTTCACAGAAACCTGTTGGCTGGATGCTCACTTCCACAGCTCCTACTTCCCACAAACATCTGTGAATCATAAAAAGCTTTAATGAATGTGAATAGCTGTGCAAAGAAACTACACATCATCTAGGCATGTATACTTTACTTCTTTTAACTCTGCTCTCCACTGTTCCCTTTTGTGTGCTTCATTTTCTGCCAGGTTTTTATTTTAGATGGTGCAGCCAAGAGGCTGTATTTTTTATAAGTCTCTGCAGACCAAGTCTGGCACAATTCTGGGCTGGTATGAAAAAACAAACCTTCCACTTCAATGAACTGTTTTGCAAGGATGGAGAGCAAGTCCAAATCTCTTCTTCCTATGTCAAAGTTTTGAAATTTACCTTGTTTTGTACTCAAAGAGATTTTTATAAAATGAATGGAAAACAGATTACCGTAACAGAGGAAGGGGAAAAAAGGAGAGTGACACTGAAAAGTGAAAAGACAAATTTACATCATTTCCACAACATAATGAAAGCAACCAGAAGATGTGTTCCATTATTTCAGTAAAGTTATTTTGGTCTAACAAAAAAATTTCTTCAATAGATGTTGAGGTTAATTTATCCTAAATTCATGCTAAAAAATGAATTTAGATTACATTTTGTATAGTCATGATTGAGTCAGCTTGAAGTTCTCTCAAGGTCTAATTTAACTGTTACACAGGGTTAGAAACTGTTAGAAAGATCCATCTGGCAGTCTTACCTGTGGATTAAAGAATCCTGTCATCCAGAACTGATTTGGTCGGCCATCCTGTAGCCAACTGCTGAACTGCTGGTTTCTTTCAAGAAGCTCAGTAAACCAAAATCCTAAAGTAGCTGACTCCCAGGAAATCCTAAACCATAGTTTTGGAATTCTAGCATCATAGATATTATCTAAAGCATCTTGCAATTCTTCTGACATAATTATGGTTCCTAGAAGATAAGTAAAACATTCAGAATGAACTTTCCCCTAGCTTGCAAAGGCAATTAAAACTTCCAAATGACATTCTGAGTTTAATACCCCTCTTTTGTTGTGCCTTAATTGCACACCTGTTGCACGAAAGTCCTACCAGTTTGCAATTAATTTGCTCAAACTTGTAAGACTTGATTCTAATTTAAAGGTGACATGATAAATGGTATTTCTTCTGTTACTTGACCAGAAACAAAGTTTTTTAAAAAAACCAAATTCTTCTTCCTCACACATATTTGTATTAATTATATTCATGCTGTGTTTGGAATACGATTAATAATTTAAATTTTTAATATATGTTAAAGGTTCCCACACACAATGACAGTGATACACCATGTAACTCACCTATATCCTAAGCATGTACTGACAGTGATCATATTAATGAAATTCACTGTTATTAATGACAACTTTGTACATTCCCATTATCAAGATTCCCCATGGTAAAGCAGTATGGAGGATAAACCTGGAGTCAAGATTTATATATATATATATGTACACACACACATATATATATATACACACATAGTACAGTACATACTTACATATTCCATGTATAGTACTGTTGTCTCCATTAAAATACTGGTATTTACTATCACCATGATTTTTCAGTGACACTCCCCATTCCATGTGCCAAAATTTCCTAGATCTTATCAGGTTGTACACTCTTAATAGTTCTGAGAGCTGGCACACAGCCATGCCTCAGAATGTCTTCTCTGTTCCACCTAAAATATTTTAAATTATAGGAACTTCTCTGATAGCCCCCATTGCAATGAAATGTTGATGTAATATCAGTGTTCATACACACAGCTGCTGTAATTGCAACAAGGATTACGAGACAGCAAACGGAATTAGGTGGCTTCCACCACAGAATATGTAAGGGAAA